TAGTAGTAGTAGGAGCAGCAGCAGCGATGTCGATGGAAGTGGAAGTGGCAGCGGTAGTTGTGGTGCTAGTGCTCCTGGTAATGCGAGTGTTCGTGCTAGTGTTACAAACAGTCTTGGTGCTAGCTTTAGTGTTGTGCTAGTAGTAATAGAAGCGGCCACTAGCGGCAGGAGCAGCAGCATCGAAGAAGCCGTCTCGATGCTGGGATTGTCCCGCTATTGCGTCTGCACTATGCACGTACGGCGTATGACAGTTGGAACTTATGAACTTCCAGGCCTGCGCCGCCCAGTATGTGAGCATCTGCGTGACCGACACTCTGCGCGTGCGTGAGAGCACCTGAAGCTTCGAGTTGTTTGGGTCTCGGCTCTTGGGTCGAAACTTGGTGCCTCACGCGCCTCACTTCTCAGTGCCCGACGACGGCTGTTGTCACAGCGGGGTTGAAATGGCCTCTAGGGCAGCGGCTCGCGCGGCCAAAAGCAGGACATGGAAGCTCAAATGCTTTTGGGAGCGGCTATTAAATTATTGGCTGTGGGTCTGTGCAGTTGCAGCCTCCAGACAGGTCACCGACGGCATAGACAAGGCTCCTGAAGGAAAGACGCGCCAGCTCCCCAAAGCTTTCTTCGGGTCAGCCTCTACACTGGGGATGCAGCATGAGCGCTGAGGCCGTGGTCCAGGAGCAACTCTCGGGTGCGGCGCGAACACCGCTCAGGCCTGGAGTGGATCCGAGGTACGGGGGCAAAACACTGCGGCCGGTCGAGTCCAGTGCCATAAGTGACCACGACGAAAAAGCTGCCGACGAATTCACAAAGATACCTTCGCAGTCCAACTTCTTATTCCAACTTGTCTTTAAAAGCTGCGAATCGCGAGACTGGGGCCGAGGCTTCACTGCATCACTGGGCTCGTAGTTCTGAAAGCTTGCAAGGTCCATGTACTCTTCGGGTCCTCAGAGCGGGGCTCCGCATCGAATACCCAAAGTCAGCTCCTGAAGCTTGCTAGCAGCTTTTGCAGGCCTTTGCATGGTGAACAGCTCATAGCGGTTCATCCAACCTCCCTCCAAAGAGTTGAAGCACATGCGACCCTTAGCATCCAAGCAGCTCATGACTCGAAATAGCGCCGCAGCCAGCAGGCTCGCCAGCAGCTGGGAACGGGAAACAAGAAACGTCTTTCGGAGATGTGCACATGATTTCAGGCTCAATATGCTTGCTGGAAGCAGGAACCGCACCTGGTAGCACAGGTACATCAGTGATCCTCCTTCCTGCAAGCTTGAACTGTTGGTAGCTGTGTGCAAGAGTAAGCGGCTCAGAGGGTTGATGTCAGGGGTTGAAATAAGCCGTCGCAAGTCCTTGCCGACGACCCCGATGCCCAATGCTACGGCTGGGTTGAAGACCTGAGCTCCATTTCGCAACGATGTCGTCGAGAGAACTCTTCGCGGTTCCGACGGCTGACCGCCCGGCTCCACCGGACATCTGCGACGCACCGATGCCAGCAATCAGCGCAAAGCCACAGGCAATGCCCTGAGAACAGTGGTGGGTCTGATCAAAGTATCAAAGCATATCGGGACTTTCTTCGAAGTTCAGTGAAGGTGACAGGAGACCTGCATGCGTTGGCTTATGTCTCACGCAGAGCTCGACTGTTGTCATCTCTGTTTTAGGCAATCTTGCTTGTCCGAGTGGTGTCACCGTCATGCTTCTGAAATTATCTTGGGCAATCTTGACTTGGCAAAATACTCAGACCTGCCAAAGCTGGCATGCAACAGATCCACTCCACCCCTCTCGCCGCTTCGGACTTGATGTCTGCCCACATACCCCCCAACGATCTGGGTCCGCCCGCGTAGAACTGGTTCGGCTCGTGGTCAGGGTTGTTACGCCGGCTGTAAACCTGGGAGTGTCTGGTGATCATTTTTGGTCTAAGAGCTCAGACAATGCCACCGGGATGCACAAAGGACCACGAAGTCGAGCATAGCCGTGTAGATCATCTCCACCTCGATAGTATTCAGAACAAGCCCCCAGATCCCAATCTTGAAAGCTCCGTGCGAGGCACCATGATTACCTATCGTCCACCAGACCTTGCTGATCTGTGGAGGGCGCGCTGTTCCCACGACAGAAAAAAAGACTCGACACCATAACAAGACATGTTGAGACCACGACAGAAAAACAACTTCACCGTGACAGCGCATTGAAAACCTCACCACGACAAGGCATCAGCAGCAGCAACAGCAGCAAAGCTGGACACATCATCAGCATCAGCACATACCAACACCACGACAAGGCATGAAAACCTGACCACGATGAGGCATGAAAGCCTCACCACGTTCAGGCATCAGCAGCACGACACATCAGCAGCATCAGCACATACCAGCATCAGCAGCACATATCAGCTGGTCTTTCCGTGCGGATGCCTCTGAACTGGTCTTTCGGTGCGGAATCACCATTTTGCCATTTTCGCCATTTTGAGAGCTTAAATCATCCAATATGGTGATTTCTCCGCGTGTGGCGGGGGGAAGGGGGGCACACACGGGAATCTCCATTTTGCCCTTTTCCGTGCCTACATCCTCCAAAACGGTGATTCCCCCGGGTGGCGGGGGAGAGGAGGCACCATTTTGCAATTGTCACAGCCTAAATCCTCCAAAATGGTGATTCCCCGTGTGGCGGGGGAGAGGGGGGGGACGCGCCTGAACTACAATTTTGCCATTTTCAGAGCCTAAATCCTTCAAAATGGTAATTCCCCCGCGTCTGGCGGCCGAGAAGCGCGGGGCATGATTGAATTGCATGTGTCAAGCTTACACGTCTGTCCTGATGCGAATCTTCTCGGAATGAGAACTCCACTCCACACCAGCACACACTGATAGGGCCAGTGTATGGTAAGAAACTTTGTCAATGTGATTCAGTGTGTCTTTGAACCCTGTCGTGGTAAGGACCTACTCTGCATCCCAAAACGACATTCCACAAGCCCCGGTTAGGCAACTTTTGTTGCCAAAACTACGTATGCGAGGCCATCACACACTTTAGAATATGCCATAGCATCCATGCTGGCAGTGGATTGCAGAAGCTGGCGGTTCTCTTGCAGTCCTTTTGCAATGCTCTTGTGGGTGCGTGATGGGGGGTGGCGGGTGTTGGGTGATAGGTGCTGGGTCCTGGGTGTCGCGATGGTGCGTGGTGGGTACAGGGTGTCAAAGACTCAACAATGCGGCTTGTTAAGCAAGGGAACAGGTTCAACACACCACCGTTACCCCTCTGCCGACATTGCATTGCCTAAACATGAAGAAGTACTGAATTGCCAGACCAGCTACGACCACCTGCCCTTTCTCTATCAGGACCCGGTGGACCACTTGGACCACAGCTCCCAACCGAGCCCGCACGTTAGCCTTTGCGCTTAGAGGTCGCTTGAAGCATGGACCTCAAGGGCTCTCTGGGGCCGCCGCCAAGCACGCTTGAGTCCAGCTGTCTCCCACCTGCAAAACGCTGAGGTGGATCCCCCCGCCGTTCACCATGCTCCGAGCCTTGGGAATGATGGTCGGGCTCACCTCCAACCGCGCCAGTCCAGGCACACCGCAAGAGCTGTGTGCTTTCATGGCACCTCGAAGAGTTGGCGAACTGCCAGTAAAGCCAAGATCGCAGCAGCGCACTGCGAGATGATGTAGGCCTGCACTCGGCATGCTCTGTGATGCGCAAAACCGAAATGCTGGAAGCCCGGCACACGTGGTGATGCCACGTAGTTTACCGGCCAGAAACCTTAATGTGAAAGGGAAGCGTGGCTTGCGGCTCGGAAGGGAGCAGCTGGGCAGTTCCACTGTTGGCTGAAGCTTCCGGGCGGGACTTTTGGTTCTCACCCGTCATGCTTACGGGACAAGCTGCATTGAGATGGAAATCGACGGGTTCAGATGGCCACCAGATACAGAGCCAAACGCATACATCATTACCTCAGATCATGCAAACACTTCAAGTCCGACTTGGTGATCAGCATGTCGGAAACAGAAAGCGTGATCTACGGTGCTCTGGATCATCTCAGTCACCATGGAAGCACAAGCGATGGAGATGCTCGCCCAGTCCAGTGCTATTCCGGACAAAGTCGTGCAGCCGACCTCCGGGGTGGGGCATGCTCTGGCCTAGGCGACTTAAGAAGAGGGCCACGAAAGCTAGGACAAACAACGGAAGCAGAGTCGATAGCGCGCAGTCGTTATGGAGTGCATGCTCGGCAGTGTGGACGCAAGCACATATGTATTGCCATCAAGATTGAAACCTAGAAGATGATAGTATTCTTGGGCATTGCACTGCGCACGTACAATTGTCGTAGTACCTTGACAGATCTCAGTGCATCTCAATATGCTTCGGACGTCCCTGCATAAGTAACACCTCGGCCATCTACGAGCAGCTTCGAACTGTCCTGGTGGCAGCTTAGCTAATTACTGAGGCATCAGACATGAAACCCACTACATGGACGCACTCGGCTGCGTAAGACAAAAATGGACCTCAACAGCGGTTATGCGATGTGCAGAGGGGGGGTCCCTCTCCGCCCCTTTAACTAGTGTGAAAAAAGAACAGATAAGGTCCTGGGCGCGATTTTGAACTGGGTCACTACTACTCAGAGCTGGCTTTCGTGATAGCCTCGTTTAGTCCTAAGCTGTGAGGCAAGGGACGGTGAAGGCGACCACGAAAGTCCCGACAAACTCGGCACTGAGCGCTGTGAAGGTCAGCGGCTTCATGGCCAGGCAAAAGAGCCCTGCACGGCGGGATCAGGCGCAAAGTGGTATCACACATGATTCACGGAGTTTCAGGCTAAGCCAAAATAGGGAGTCTCACCGGCCTCGAGGGGCCCAGTCGCCGGGTCAGCTAGGTTCGGTTCTCGGACTGAGAGCACATTTGGCTGCCAGGAAGGGGTCTGGCCAATGAGCCCTTCAAGCCCTTACACCCGGAACCCTGCACCGCCTGCACCCTCTACCCTCCACCCCAACACCAGACGTGCTATTCGGCGCTGAAGTTGCGAACGGACGGATGCATGGCGTACCTGATCGGGTCCAGCCTTTCCACATACCTTCTTCGGCTGTCCCGTGATGATCGACCAAAGTTGGGAGACAGTGCATGCTCTGCTGGCTTAGAATCAGAGTTTGGCTTAAGCCTCGCAGTTGTTCAGCCTCTGCGGTTTGCAATTTATGAGTTCGGTGCACCACATGCACCATTTTACTGTGGGACTGCACGTGCATGTCCGTATCCGTACACTCCCGCATGCATGCTTCCAGACACGTATGTGACATATATGTCTGTAGCAACAAATGGAAGATTGACGGCTAGACAGAGGGAGCAAGGGCTCGCGGCAGCAAGAGATTGCGTGTGACACAGGCAAACAGCGAGCGAGACCGCGAGCGAGACGGCAAAGGAGAGGAGAAGGATGATGTCGAATCGTCGAAGCCACCCAGGTACAGACTTGCGGTGGCCATGGCTTCTTCCTGACCGCCAAGGTCAATGATGTTTTCGTGAAGTTAATGCTTGATACACAGACGTCTCAGTTCCTCAGACCCTACGACTGCAGAGACGTGAACCGGCAGGGAGCTGACAATGCTTCAAGGTCGGGACGGTGGGCTCCAAATTGTGGGTAATGTGCGACTGTAACTGTACCCGTTCATGAGCTTTCATGCAATCTCTATCATCTTGTCACCAACCTGACCCTATATGTGTGCCCTCCTCCACACTTACTGCGAAGCCCTGCGGAAGTTGGAAGCCCCATTTTTTCACTAAAGCTCCGAATTCGACAGCAGGTCACGGCAGCTCAATCCGATCCCTTTGGGACGACTGGCCGTGTCCTGCATGCCAGTTTGCAGTGCTGCGCACCGAGCCCCTTCGGAGCCGCTAAAGTGCGGTGCTGCGTGTTGCTGGAACGAGGCACTGCCAAGCTGTTATTGGGATTGGCTTCGGAAGCAAAGGGTTCCGGGAGCAGGGGATCTCCATGCGCCCCAGCCTCACTGGAGGAGAACTGTGCCGAAGCCTAGTCGATCTGGGCAGCATGTCACTCCTTCGCAGCTGCCTCTTGCGCAAGCTGCGTCATCGACATCTCAGCCAGCCGGGCACATGCACGTCTCGCTCTTCGCACGGATCCTCCTGCATAGGGTTATTTGAGTCGCGGGCTGCACGCTTCTGGAGTCCTGGGGCTGCGGACAGACGGAATTCTGCCAGCCAAACAACTAAGAGCACAAATGCTTTTGCTTTTGCAGAGTGCCCAGTGCAGCCCAGCGGCGGACCGAGAAGCCATACTTTGGAACCATGTAGCCCTGCTTCTTGAAGCCTCGCACGGTTACGTCCAGGTTCCGCCTTAGTGGCCTTCCGACTAGCGACGTGGCAGCAACTGCCCCCCACCTTTGGCAGCTTCTTGGATGATGGACTTGGAGGTCTCTTCCGGATCAAGGAGTTCCTTGCCCTTCGCATCCTCACCGCAGTTTGGGCTGCAGAGAGCAATGCTCGCTCTGTATTCATGGCCTTGCCCTCGATGATGTTGGTCTGGATCTGGTCTTGGGCACGAACCTCAGATCACCAACAGGCCCGGGCCACTTCCTGTCTGCACGAAGCTCTCGGAGCGGAGCCAAGGCCCGGATCTTGAGCTTGCCCTGCAGCGACCTCCACAGTCAAGCGTACTCAGCCAAAACTTTGGCATCCCCAACAGTATGGCCACCTAGTGCGGCCCGCACTGCTGGGCTATGAGTAAGCAGTGAGCTTATCGTGTCAACATTATCTAAGTTAGGGTTCCTTTTTAGCATCTTTTTTAAGAAGGGTGCCGTATTATTTGGGGGACTTAAAAAGAGACCCCAATTTGGAGAACTACCCACGTGCAGGATGACTCCGATGGATCGGAAAGACTACTGCTGCTTTCGTGCAGTGTCATGTTGCTCGGTCTGTTTCCCGTCTGTGAGCCAACTCCTTCTACTCTTGAATTTAGCGAGAGTTCCGAAGTCCAAGAAGCTCGCGACCGAATCAGGGAATCGTTTCCTCTCGAGCCGAGGGCTCGCTTGCTCTTGCGAAGACAGCCTAATGCCCCGTGGCCCTTGACCAAAATTACACAGAAGCCTTGAGAACTCAGAACTCGCAAGAAGACAAGCACGGGGTGCACTCCAATCGCTCAGAAAGGCCCTGTGGCACGATATCGCACGATGGCAATGTCGAATGTTGGCAGAAGCAACTTGGGAGCCGGCTCCAGCATTTCGATCTGCAGGAGCTCGTCCATATCGGGATCCTGTGAGGGCTCGACTCGCATCGCCCCAAAGCCGCGCCCGAGGGCGCCTCCAAGGGCTCGCCGCTCTTCTCTGCCTGCAAAGCGGAGCCCGGGCTCGTATCTGCTCGTCTCAGAGGCCAAAGCTGGCACTCTCTTTCATAGGACCATCTCAACAACGAGGGAAAAATCCCAAGGCCTGCTCAATAATCTCTCTGCGTCGCTGAGCGGCCTGGCACAACCAAAGCCAGGAGTAGAAGACATACTCTCATCTCGGGGTTACACCAGGTAAACTCCGTAAATGCACCTCGCGCTTGGGCTTGCTCTACGTCAAGCCCTTCTGCAATGTTCTGCAATGATACACGGTTGTGACTTACGGAAGGCACGACAGATGCAAGCATCGGCACGCATCACTTATCGTTTCTAGCCCATACTAGTAGATACTAGTAGCGCCTCAATGGCCCAGACGCTGCCCGGAGGAGCCCGTGCTGGCAGGGCACGCATCAAAGCCTCACCCAGGCTGCACGATAGAATTGAACCCACAGTCGGCTTTGCTGTGCCACAGGAAGATTCACCCTCATAACGTTCAGCACTACTTGGCAAGAGTAGGCATGATTTCGGCACTGTGCTTCCGAGAGACATCTGTGACAGGCTTCCGCCACACTCGATCGAAGTCTTCCTGACCAGACGCGCGGAGATGCTGCGAACTATTCGGCCGCACGGGTGCCCTTTCATGCCTCGTCGTGCTGGCCGAAGCCAATGGCACGGACCCACTGCTGCAGCCCGAAGACGTCCTGCAGTTAACGACTGGGCAACGACGCCGCATCGAAGCTGAAGATCGCAGTGCAAATCAGAATTCTGTATGCTTGTGGCCTCCTCCTCGAAGTTCAACTCCTCTTCCGTCGCCACGACCACCTCGCCTTGGAGAGTTGCACGCACTCCGAAGCTCTCCCCATACCTTCTTCTCATGTCGACCCATGCTTTTCTCGCCCACATACAGCGGCTCTGAGTGGCTGGCCGACGTCCTCAGCCTCTCTGGCGGTGAAGCCCGAAATGCCACTGCTGCTGCTCTCATCTTCTTCCGCTTCTGGCAGGGCACTGCGATTCTGTGCTTGAGCGACCCTGCAAACGATTCAGGACTCCCAAGCCTCTTCTTGCAATCTCCTCAAGCTCTCGGCGGTGGAACTCTTCGTAGGTCTGCCGGAATGCAAAATCTATATATTTAATGCAGCGGGCCGAGCCAGGATGGTTCGCCGGAAGATGCCGGGAACTCCAGCAAGAGAATGCTCAGCGGCTGGCGATGCCCAGTTCCTTGGCCTTGATCTTGTCCTCCCTGCGCGGTACAGCAGTTCCGCCAATCCCTGAGGGAAGGTTCCTGCAGATCCCAGTCGAGCCTGTATTTGGCTTGCGCTGCCAACTGCTGCTGCTTCCGATAGATAACGTTCCACCGATCTGGCTCCTCAGGAGATACAAAGCCCCAGAAACGTAGGCGTCTGAGCCATCGCCGGAGTCTGAACACTGAAGGCTTCCGAGGCGCCTCGGACTCTGCCCAGCGAGCCTTGAAGGCGTCCGCGCCGAGGCCCTGGCAGAGAGAGCCGGCTCCCGCCTCCCTCCCTCTCCTCCACTCCTCTTTCCTTCCAGCCTCCGCCACTTCCAGCATGTTCCGGACCTCCTCGCGCAGCCGCGGGGTGAGCCACTCCTCGCAAAAGCGATGAAACAGTTACCGCTGCTAAGCGAAATCCATTCCGAGCCACTGCATCTGAGCCCCAGGCTCCGTTGCCCCGGAGGTCCTGGGGTCGGATGTTTTGCGTCTCGATCCGATGGTCCTCGCGGACGTGAGGTTCTTCGGAGAAACACTGCAACAGGCTCTGTCTTCGCGGTAGTAGCGGCGGTGCTGCGGTGGTGGCGGCGGTGGTCGCGTCGTGGTGTCGTGGCGTCGTGGTGTTGTGGTGTTGTGGTGTTGCGGTGTTGTGCCATTGTGGTGTCGCGGAAGTGGAGGCAGTGCTGGAAGTAGTTTCAGTGTTCGCCATGTATGTGACAATCATTACATGGTTGAACATGGCAGTTGTTGCTGGCTGTAACATAATCACCTCTTCAATTGTCTGCAGCATGATGGCGCTTCGAAGGCGCAACTGCCAAGAAGTAGACTGGGCTCCGTGCCCCTTTCTTCGTCTCTTCTAAGGCCCTGCGTAGCCGCAACGCAGCCTGGCGCGAACCGATGCTCAAGCCCCGAAGTGTCAAGCTGGCAACCCAACTGCAATGTTAACAGCCGCACAATGCGAGGCATACACTTCAGGGTCCGCCAAAGAGTTTCAACACGTCTCGTCTGCATTCTGCATCGCTGCCTGGCGGATGATCCATTCTGTATCCTCACCCCCTGCTTTCACCAGCGCTGCCTCGAGCATGACAGGCTGAAAACGCATCAACAAACGCACGACATGGATTCCAGGGTGGCCAACTCAAACCCTAATTCTAGCACGGTCCGTGGAAATTATGTGGCTGCATAAA